TAATGAACTCGAACCATTGTGTATTTAACTCAAATCATTGTGTATTTAACTGGAATCATTGTGTATTTAACTTGAATTTTGCTACAGTAGGCTCCGTTCTTAACTATGGGTTGTCCTTAAACCGGGCATTCTTATCCCGGGGACTGCCTGTATTCTCATACCTCTTTCCTGTGAAAATGTGGTCCTGGTTACACCAAATATTTGCTGACTAGAATGGTTTTGGTTTAAACAGAAATGGCTTCTTTCAATACTGCCAAGCCAGGGGAGACCCGAGTTGGTGATAATATATGCAGAAGGGATCTGGGTGTCCTTGTCAACCACAAGGTAAACATGAACCAGCAATGGATGCACCTGTTAAAAAGACAAATGCTGATTTTTCTCAGCATGCAGTCCAGATCATGAAAAATGATAGTTCCACCCTATTTGGCCTTGGCCAGACTCCACTTGGGATATTGTGTCTAGTTTTGGATAGTGTAGTTGAAGGACAGTGACAAATTGGAATAAGATCAGAGGATTGCTATCAAGTTGATGAGGGGTCTGGAAATCAAGCCCCACAAGGAGTAGTTAAAAGATTGGGATATGTTGAGCTGCAGAAGAGACAACTAAGAAGAGATGTGACATCTGAGGGGCGGTCATATAGAAGAGGGAAAGGCCTTATTCTCTATTGCTTGAGAGAGCAGGACCAGGACCAGGACCAGTGGTTAAGACCCCAAAGAGGTGGTTTAGATTAGACATCTAAAAACTTCCTGACTTTATGAGCTGTCAGCCAGGCCTCCTTCACCAGAGGTCTTCAGACACTGGCTGGATAGTCACCTATCAGCGACACTCTAGTGGAATTTGTACTGAGCAACGGGTTTTGACTTCTCTGACCTCTATGGTCATTTCCAATTCCATGATCCTATCATTTCGAAATCTGCATCTGCTATTAATTTAGGCTGTGAAAATATATCAGAAGTACTTATGCAGGAAGGGTAAAACTTATGACTTCAAGAGAGAGCTGATAATTTAAAAAATTCCTGGGCACTCCTGCTTGTTTTAACAACTCCATCATCAACTGACTATGAAGAAGAATTGCCTGTCAACAGCATGCTTCCCTTTTCCAGGATAATTTTGCCTCCCCAAGCTAGCTTTGTTTGGTAGATGGGGACCTCAGCTGAAGGAATAGCCCTCAAATGGCATTGGCTAGATTATTCATCTCCTTCCATCCTTTGACAATGGCAGCTTCAAAAAAGCAGTTCATCAAGTTCCCATCAAGATGGAATGAGTGAACTCAAGGCCAAGGATCATCTTGGGTTGCTGAGAGCGAGGCATCCTGGACCAGGTGATACATGTATGTTACCACACTAGGAACCTTGCTGGGAGTGTCTACACTTCATGCTTGGTTGCCTCAGTGAAGGAAGAGGGCCCTGTTTCCAACATGCTTATTGCAGTTTCCAGATTCCATCTTCATCACCTTCACAGCCATCCCACCCACTAGGAATATTGGCTAAGATAAGAAATAATGTATTATTTCATGTATCCTTTGTCTGCAATGGCCAGAATCCTGAATGAGCCTCGTACAAAATGAACGTCAACTTCAGTCCATGTCAGAATAGATTGCATATCTCATCTCTTTTGCCGTATTTTGCATTTCTATATATTTCTTCTGACCGTGTCCAGCATGCCAAACATGAATTCCCTTCTATTTGGTTAAATATATTACTGATTTGTGCCAGAGTTTTCCAGACTGATTGTATTGAGACTTTTCTCCAGGATCTGTTGTTTTCCATCTGTTTGCAATGTCAAGTTGTACCAGAAGGCTTAAAACAAATTCTTAACCCTTTTAAAATTAGCGGTATTTCCAATGGATCCCAACAGGCAATGGTTGTAAAACTTGTGCTGTTTTCCAACAGAAGATTATAACACGTCTGTTTTGTCTCCATCAGGTATTCTAATCTAAAACGGGGGCTGCTGAATATCTTCAGCTATAGTTCCCACAATCTCTTATGCTAAAAACATGGACACAGCAATAATGGAAGAACCAGCACTCCTTTGACTGCTTCCTAAAATTCACATAGGTCTTAAAGTTAATTTTAAATGATTTATTTTGTAATAAATATTTACCTTTCCAATATAACGTGGATAGAAAATCGTTTCAGATCTTTGCAGGAACCAGTGTAAACTTTTTTTCCCATTCATAAGGATGAAGACCATGTATCTCTTTCTAAACTTGACAAAAAAAATAGTATACCAATAATCACTTGGTATTATGATTTAACCAGATCCAATATGGTTAAATCATATTAATTGGATGCTATTTTATGTTTTCAGTTATAAACTTCCATCTTTGAAGACCCTGGAATAATGCTTATTATGTTGTTTTCAGCATAGTAGTTTTCAAACATGATGCTCAGATGGAGAAATACTTGTATGTATCTACTCAGAAGTAAGCCCCACTGAACTCAGTGGGAATTATTGGCAGCTCTGTAGTCTTTCAGCTTTTAGAGTCTTACTATTTTATTTTATTTTATTTTATTACTTTACTATTTACTATTTTACTAGGACTATTTTATTAGTTTAGTTTAGTTTAGTTTAGTTTAGTTTAGTGTAATAAGTAGAAAGCAGGTCCAGTGATACTACTCAACGTATGCTACTTTTCATGGTGACTTACCTTCATTAGGATCAATCCAAAGATTGCGCAAGAGTTTGGGTAGGCTGGCAAAGCATTCCATGGCTTTTCAAAGCAGATGAATGATATGACTGGCAGCTTTAGGGCATCTCCTGTGTGGGTGGATAAACATATGATGAAACTCATGCCAATTCACTTCCAGGTAGAAAAGAAAACCTGGTTTTGTAGTCCATTTTATTTTGCAAGCAAATGAAAAACACACACCTTTGCACAGGTAGTCCTCAGCTTTTATTGTCTGCTGCCGAGACTTATTTTGGGTGAGATGGGTGGCCATATAAATTTGACAAACAAATTTCTGTTGCTAAGCGATGTGGTCGTAAAGTGGGATGTTACATGACTGCATCGCTTAGCGACGGTAATTCTGGCAGTCCTGGTTGTCATCGTAACCCAGAGACTACATGGGTTGTTAAGAGAGGACCTCATGTGACTGGAGCCCTAGGCAAGAAGGCTGTCTGGCGAGAACTGCAGGCAGGTGGGTGAGTGCCACACACAGGCACTATTGAGCGCGGGCAGGCTGGTGGGGACTGCTATGGGGCATAGGCAGGCAGGAGGGTGCTACAGAGTGCAAGATCCCTGGGATCTCATACTCCATAGCAGGGCTGCTCAGGAGAAAAAGCAGTGGAAGCGACTTAGAGGTGACTTGTGACCTTCCCTGCCAGGCTTCCCCGCTGACTTCGCTTTGGGATGTCAGC